CAGTCTGTCGATATCTCTCCTTTTGTCCCAATTTTCTCAGCATCTCACTCGGATTCTCAGCATCTTCTGTGTCTGGTTTAACATTTGATACAGGTAATGCATCCAATATCGTATTGACATCTGTTTCAAAGCCCATATCTATCATTCGATCAGCCTAATAGACAAATGGCAGACAGTATAAAATATGAGCATTATGGGTAACGACGGAAACATAGCTCATGCTTTCTTTCGCTAATTGCACATTCACCTCATCCATGACAACATATGTGCATTGATTAAGCACTAATATCCTTCGATCCAAACAATCTTTTAATCTTCCTGGAGTAGCAATAATAATCTCTGCCCCATTCCTTAAATTAAATGCCTGCTCCTCTACTGCATGCCCACCAACAATCGACACACAATTGAATCCCATAGGAGCTGCAAACTTGAGAGTTTCTTGTTCAATTTGTTGAGCCAACTCGCGTGTTGGAGCAAGGATCAAAGCGTAAGGACCATCAGCCATGTTTTCTTCCGACAAGCGTGGTAAATCGGAAATATAGACTAACATTGGGATAACAAATGAAGCGGTTTTGCCGCTACCTATTTGTCGAGTAAATCCGAGAGGAGTAAGTTTGATATTAAAAGTATGGAATAAAGTGGGGGTGATTGGAAAGGTAATGACAAGCGAAGAACAGATAGCTATTGCTACAGTATGACCCAAACATGTTATGGTAATTCGTATATGCGGTCTTGAATACATCACCTGTTTCTGCGATTCCAATAATATCTCTATTCTGCAAACCGATAGGTATAGCCTGTCTCTGAATAGGTGTTGGTTCTTTATATCCAATGGAATCAATGAGCTTAATAATGCGCTCCGAAAGTTTGGATTCTTCCCATGATCTGATGGGATTTGGAATACTACCACCTATGAGACATTCAATGAATTATGACATTCGACCCGTATAGAAACGTTCGCGGTGACGACAAATAAACCAAAAGTATGCACAAACCTTTTGTCGTAATATTAAAGTCTTCTTTGAATATACGCCAATCACGTTCTTTCATTTCTGACAATGGCTTCTCTGACCAGTGTCTATCATCCCACATATTCTTTAACTCTTTTCTTCGATCTATTTCCATTCTCTCTCTATACAAACCCAAAGAAATATTAAATAAGGAAGCTACTTATCCAACGAGATGTTTTTAAACTCCCATTGCATATTCACATTCACATTCACATTCACATTCACATTTCAACTTCATTAACTCTAACCACTTCTCTTCTCAGTGCCCTATACAGAAAAACATACTCAGCCCGATCCTTCTGATCCACAGTCCTCCTCTCCTCCAACAGCTGGGAATAAAACGCTGCTCTCTCTTTCTTCTGCTCCTTAATATCTATCCCTGCAAAATGTCCCCTTCCAAACATCTGCGCGCTGTGTCTACTTGCGTACAGCGGATTAAAGTCTTGCGACGTATCTTCCCCTGCGTCCCAGTCGAAGACAAATTTTTTCTCGTTCATTTTACGTATTTTACGCTTCTTGCGCTCACCGCCCATGTACCGCTCCTTTTTGGGGCGGATATTCACGTTACGTAAGGAAATTTGCATTTAGCGATTCCTCTCATTAATACCATGATATACAAGCAAGCAGGTATAAACTTACCCTTATCGCTTGTAATTCTTTCTCCTCTAGTCGCTCATTCATTAACTGTTCTTCTTCTTTCTTCTCTGGTGGTGGCCGTTTTTCAGGAACATCTCTCAGTTTGCTACGGTCTCTATCATATCTATCGTGTCTATCACGATCGTATCTATCATAATAATCTCTTCTATCCCGACTTGTACCTAAAGAGTAGTTGGTCGATTCGCAGTGTTAGAATAGTTGTAGATATACACGAGCCGCAATAAATCTCGCATCTCAAGTTTCCAGACCTCAAAACTCAGATGTTATACCCTAAATCGCATACATTTCGCATCCATATTTACTGACCATTCTGCCGTGCCTCCTCAATAGCCCGACGCTGAAACTCCTCTTGCTGCCTACGCTCTTCTTCTTGCTTACGACGCTGCTCTTCAATTTCTTTTTGTCTCTTCTCTAATGCTAGCTTTTGTCTTTCTTCCTTTGTTAAGAATTTCGGCTAAGAAAAATACCACAATGCTCAAAATTACATTTTCGATTCAACGGTTATTATAATACATTAAACAAGACATAACAAATAATTAATCATACTCGATCGAGCTCCTTTTTCTCTGTTTCTTTCTTCTGCAATATCTCCTCCAACGAAACCGGCACTCTTCTCTTAGGTACCTCTTCCTTCGATTGTTGCTCTTGTTTCTGGTCTTGTTGATTCTGGTCTCGCTTATCAGGCTTCTCCCCACCATTACTTTTATTAGCGCCGTTCTCTCCACCATTTAAGTGCTCCTCTCTTTCTTCCTCCTTCTCGTCACGTTCCATAGACTCCGAAGCTCTCCGCGCTGAGTCATAATCACTGCTTCGTCGTCTTTCCCTATCATAGTCTCTATCATATCTTCGCCGACGGTATCCGTCTTCTCTACGCCGATCAGACGAGGAGGGTGATCGTGATCGTGATCGATGGGGTGATGGCGTGCGGGAGCGGTGTCTCCTTGAACTAGAGCTTACCGAAGCGTACGATCTAAGAAAGAAAAAAAGAACAGTGAAAACAAAGCCTGAAGTTGGAGACGAAAAATTTAGGCACACTTGGTATACCTTCGCGAACGATCTGTTGGCATTTGGTCAAAAAATACTGTAGTGATGTTCAAATACTATCTAGTTTAATAAATATAATCACGTGAAACGATCGTAAAAAGCAGATCACAATTAATATTAAAAAAGTCACGCGCTAAACACACATACGGTGCTTACTATGACGCGAGAAAGCTGTCACTAAGGCATTTGCTTAAAGTAATAATGCCTCTCCATACTCCCGGAAACAGCGGTGAATTCGCAATAGTAATGCATCACGACATTGCGTTATGTGCAATCGCGCTTGGGAGAGCGCTGAATTCATTAGTGACCGAGGATCTCAAAACACGGTCTTACTAACGCCTCGCTAACTAATGTTGAAGGCGGCTATGTATATATTCCTATCGCCGGAATACCAAGATTGCTAGTACTGTTTACTAATTGAAAATAGAACGCGTTGATGCTAGTTTCGAGTCACTCTTTCGGATTGATTTAATCTTTAAGCTCAATCCTGTTTGAATTCTTTCTTGTTTAAAGAAACGACACTTTCGGCAATATCTAATATATTGATTATGACCTATTACGTCGTAGCTTTTATCTACTAGAGGCCTATTAAGTCAGTCGATCAAGACACTTTTCATTTTAACTTTAAGTATTGGATATAAAGAAATACAGAAAATGCTTTTAATCGAGCTCAATTTGCAAAAGGCCAGAGTACTGAATTTTCTTATATATACTAATACTGTTAACCTCTGCTAGATTAGACATCTACAATTAAAAAAAAGTCGTTTGAAGCCAAAACAAACTAAATTACACACATTAACAACACAGTACGTCTTTTTTAAAATGACATAGCCTTTGAATAAAAAGACCCTACCTTAACTTCGTGAGAATAATATTGATGTTACTGACAACTTCACTATGAGAAATACTTTTGTTATACTACTACTCCTCCTATTCTTCTTCTTCATTTTATGCAAGAGGTGAGAATCGTAGAGTTTTCGAGGTCTTTATTTAGGCACACGGTGAGAATTGTAGAGTAATTCATGAATATGAAGATGCAATTATCTGCGGAACTAAATCATCTTATTTGTAGAATGCCTAGGCTAAGCGAGAATTATGTTGGCTTCGTTAATGTCTTCATCGTAGGGCATAAATTCAGATAGATAATTCTTTTCCCCAAATATCTTATGAAAAGTACCAATGGTGAAATTTGGGAAATCGATAGCAAGAGCAAACGTTCTGCCAAGCGAATTGTGACACAAATCGATTAAAAAAACCATTATTATTATTTAATTCGACCAATTCATGTGAAGAACGAGTTAAATCGCGTTACATTAATTCCGATTTTGGAAAACAAAAGTTTGAAATTAAATTGCTCGTGTGACCATTAGGAAACTGTGTTTTGGATTGAATTCCTGAGCCTATGTTTAAAAAAGGCTAATATTTGTAACAGAGACATTTAAGGTTTATTTGACTTTTCTGTTGTTCGGATTCAAGTTGGGCATAATAATAATAATAAGCAAGATTAGAGCTCAATTCAAAATTAATTCTCATTTGGACAGCTAATGGAAAGCTTTTTCCGCAAACGATTTCCGTCAATCGCGACCATCGAATAAGACTATGCTTTGAATAGTTTGGTCATATGTGAACCATTCGATGTTACCGGAATCTTTAGCAAACCAGTTTGATAAACGCAGCAGATAGTCTGTGCATGCCAACAACGCTACCGCTTTAATGTTTATTTTTTTTTTTTTTGCCTCCCCGTATTTTTATTTTTATTGTAAAAAAAATTAGTCTGACTATTCATAATCTATTCATATACCCGATAAATAAAGAAAAGAAAGTTACCAGGATACGTTTCGTTCAATCAAGCAATTGGTCGGTCGGCGTGAAAAAGACAGAATAATTCGATATTCTATATATGTGTGTGTTTTTTGGGCATTTGTTAATTATACAAAATCAGACCTGATGAATTAAATATATAAGAGAAGAATCTAAAAGGTGTATCCGAAAGGAAAGTAAAGTACTAATCAAAAGAGATGCAATAATAAAAGAGAGTGAGGAGGATGAAAGTGGTTTGCCACTAAAAATATAGGATATATGAATGACTAAAATCAGCTATGTATAGAACGGTGAAAAAAAAAAAGATTTATCTACAAATATAAAAGATGAAGAAAAAGTTTCCTGAACCTTATAGTCAATACTACAATCCATTGTCTACACCCAAACCCAAACCCAAACCCAAACCCAAACCCAAAATGCCATTAACCCCACGCTCCCCCAAGTCCTAAAGTAAACAATTCACTTCCTTTACGCAAAGAAATGAGTATTCTGCCTACTATCCTCGTGCACTTCCATTTCGGCCATCTTGTATTCATTCAGTTCCTGTTTAATCTTCTGCGCCAACGCTGGAGTCAACTTGTTACATGTTGTTTGATCTCCTCTTCTATCATAGTCATCCCGAGTCCAAGTCTCATGTACGAAAATGGTTGACGAAAACTTCAACTTCTTCAAAGTTGGCGTCTCAGAAGATCGACAGATTTCTGTATCCCTTACAGCACCCAATGAAGGGACGGATCTTGAAGCCTGAGAGAACCGGTTCGAGTAGGGACTATAGGGTATTCTGTCATTATTGGTGGAGCTATCGTTCCTTGCCATAGATGGAAGAAAAGAAGAGAAACGTCTTCCTGGAGCATTGGATATTGGCTGCTGCTGCTGGGACGGCAAATGCGAGAACGGCCTCAATGGCACATCGTTAAGTTCATCTTCATCCGAAATTGAATCTGAAGAGGAAGCCGTAGATCCAAACTCTGTCCCAAATGTTTGGACTGTAGGTGAGGCCGTACGATACGCATATTGTTGCTGTTGCTGCCGCTGTTGTTGCTGTTGCAGCAGTAGCTGCTGTTGTTGCAGTCGTTGCTGTAACTGTTGTTGTTGTAGTCGCTGTTGCTGTTGTTGAAATTGCAACGGTAAAATAGAACCAATTGAGGACTGAGGTTGGATTGATTGTTGGTAATGATATTCAACTCCTGACGGCATCGATGACGATCTTGGTGGGATTTGTCCTGATAAATAAATGAGTGAGTTATTTGAATGTATATAATAAATTACAATAGTAGAATTCGCAAACAATATTCTTAACTAGATCTAATCAGGTCCGACAATCTCTACTTGGCACATCTTTCTAATCCTAAACTTACCCTGACGGAATGTCTTCATATCTTCGTAAACCAGACTACCAGTTTTCTCTTCCTTCTCTCTATTCTTCTCATCTGTGAAAAACTTCTTCTTCGTATTCTTCTTCTTCTGTCTCTGTTCGCCACTCGGCTTCTGGTTGTTATTATCAACATCCTGATTCTTGTGGCTTTTTTTATCTTTGGTAAAAATTGATGGAAAATCGATAAACGATTTTCGACGCGACGAATCAGGTTTGATATTACGGACAGCAGGATTTTCATATGCCTGAGAGAATGGTGAGACTATGCTTGGTACTTCTGTATGATTGAAAGCGACGGGAGTTATGGGAGCCGCGGAAGTCGTAACCACAATAGAAGAAAACGAGGGTTTCTTGTGAAAAATTTCGGTCTGCGGGCGAGCTTTCTTACCGCGAAGGGATGAGAATTTCAAATTCGATTGTGATTGTTGATTTTGTGATAAAGACGAAGAATTACTAGATAGTGATGTTGAGAAATTATCAGAGTGCGAATTCTCATCCTTCTTGAGATTTGTCAGGCTAAAGACGCGACGCAGTTTATGGGTAAAAGACTGGTCTTTATCTTTATATATTTGTTTTCGCAAATCAGTGTTAGATCCCATGGCCGCCGATTGACGGAAACGCTGGGTTTTTTGTTTCAGGTCTTGAGAAGAGATAGGTTGGATTGAATTAATGGAAGGGGACATAGCAGTCGAGTCGCTAGTATTATTATTGTCATTATTATGATTATTAGGATTACTATTATTATTATTATGAATAGAGTCGGAGGAGGGCTGAGCGGCAGTTTCAACTTCCGAGGCACCGTTCCCGACAGACGAGGATTCTGGAATGCACTGAGAATCATTCTCTTCCACCTCGTCAAGCAAGTCTTGTTTAGTCTGTACATGTTCTATCTCATTTGTGACTTCTATATCCACCTGCGCCTGCACAAGTTGTGATGTTGTCGTTGGGGGCATGTTATTCTTTTGGTGTACCAATGCTGGCACCGGAACTGGAGGTATCTCTAATACAGGGCGAGGCACGTTAATACTCTCATTGAAGCTAGACGCTCTACGCCGAAGTTTATTGGTGTAAGAGTTGTTCTGTTGCTGCTGCTGCTGCTGTTGTTGTTGTTGCTGTTGTTGTTGCTGTTGTTGCTGCTGTGGCTGCGTAAAAGAGTATTGTTGGAAGTTTGCTGGCAAGTCGCCATAATGCACGCTGTGACGATTACTAGGACGTCTGTTCTGATGCAAAGCGGACTGTTGTATATTCACACCTGTTTGCTGAACTACCGCGTCGTAGATGGGTCGCCGTTGAATGCTTTGCTGAGGAAGGAAGTTGACCAGCGAGATATTCTCGTTATCGTATTCTATAGTAGATATATTTTTGTCTGATTGATAGTTTGCTATACTAACGGCCATTTCTTCTTTATTTTGGCTCGCTATGAGATAGGTGTTGGGGAGATGAATCTATTATATTGATATAATGAGGAATAGAGAGAGAAGACAGAAAAGATAAAAAAGGACTGATGAGACAGGATGGGGGCAATTGGGCAGGTAATTGTAACAATGCACGGAGTGAGTTTTAAGTATGAAATATCCACAAGGCTAATCTAATTGAGGTACAGTGAATGTTGCACATTAAAGGGACTTTTGGAGCAATAAATAAGAATGGTGTAGTCGAAAGGAAAATCCTCGGCGAGTCAGCAGGGCATCAATTATTCAGTTATTCAGTCAATTGGTCATATTTACTAATGTTTATTTTTACTTTTATTTTCTATTTTCTGTTTTTGTTTTCAGGGCACGTTTAGAAAAGTACGGAAGCGTTTGACGAGTTCCAGATGAGCATGTCATCCTTTGTTGCCTCTGAATCGCAATCTAGGATCCAACTGAATAATGAAAGCCGTTTTTTGAGATTGTTTCGGATTGAGATAAAGAAATGTTGTGATGGGATCGTTAGTACAAGATGAAGATGACAAGAATGGTAATAACAATAAAGTGACGAACAATAACACCACCAGAAGTAACTAAAAAAAATTAGTTATTGTTATTACAAACTTACCAATAACACTAATCTAATTCTAAATTAAGCTTGAAATTTAATATGTGTCGAGTTGTATGTAACTTACCAATCCTCTACGACATTCGAATAGACTCTTACGGATACTATGACACTCTAGTGGTACATCTTTCGCATGCTCCGCCTTTAGACACTCTATAGAACAAGATCATAACGAACAAACCAATACTATGAATACACATATTGCATACATGCTACATACATATATACACATACATATCTACATATTGTACATGTACAAGCGATTTGCTTTCTTTGCTTCCCCCTTTACCTTTGACTGTGTTACGCTGTTCAAGAACGCACTTTGACTTAAGTAGGCAGTCGATAAGCTCCTGTCTTATATCTTTGCACGATGACGGCATTCTCGAGACATTTAGTTAAGACAGTCTCATTCAGCCCATTATTATTAGCCCCAGCCAGCTGTTACATGCATGTCCTCGTGACCATGTAACTTTCAATCAAATTGATAGGTGTAACCCATAGTAATAGGGTTGCAGGCGCTCGTCTGTTGAACTAATCAGGATCATTTATTTATAGGACACCGCGGTTTCTTCAGGTATTTACTTAGTATTAGGCATAATCAAGTGCCTTACAACACATACTTTCTCAAGCAAGTTGCAGAAAATAAGCGTCTTATTAACATAAATGGTAATGACAAACGTAGAGACAAAATATGTTGCCTAACCATCAAGTTGATGGACATGGTCCTCGAAAGCAGCTAAAGGGTTGATCTTGTATACCTGTCAAGCGGCGTTTACATAAAACTTTCCTATGTAAGACTGTATCTACAGTTACATAGCACACGGGAGTTTTCGAGGTCTTGCTACTTATACATATCAAGACTTGTGGTGCCAGTACATATTACAGGAGACTTCTTATTACATAAAGCTGTTTGTGACGAAAAAAAGTTGTTAACTTTCTGCTACCAATTTTAGCAAAAAACGCGTTATGTACAAAGCTTATGTTTATGTTTTTACTATTACTTGTTCAGATGAGGAAATTGCCGAAAGAACAAGGTGAAGAATAATGGGGCTAGAACAATTGGACAATACTTGAAGAGAGATTCTTCAATTTCACAGTGAGCAAGTTGCAGTCTCAAGGTGTTGTTGATCCATATCGATCTGTAGGCCGGTATTTAAACTCAGGGAGTATCAAAAAAGCCAGTCTATTAAAACGCAATTATTTAATGATGTGGCGGAATATGAAGAAGAAGAAGAAAGGATGCCACAGATTTAGAAAGAATAATGGTGGAGAAGTGGAATAATATACCTGATGAGACTGTAATCAATTTAAGATTATTAAAACAACCAATAAAATCTGCTTGTTTCAAGCTTTAAATGGATATATTTATCATATGGGGCAGACTGCAACAAAACCAGATAAAGTGAACATTTTATTATGTGAGAGGCTGATTGTGGTGTGGCTGTAAAATTGACCAGTGTGACTGATGACATTTTGAAAAATAATAATGGTGCTCATTCATAACTTATGGACTTGTTAATTTTAATGTTCACTTTATCATACCAGAATGTGATGAATATAAATCATAACATGATTAATATAGGATTATCTCTATATAAAAAATATTAATATGAAACTGATTTACATTAAGTCCACTATGGAACTAAAGAATTATAGCACCATTAGAAGCATTCTAAAAAAATCTCAAGGAGAAAAAATTGCTCCTTATGTTTTTAAAATCAATGATACCCAAACTCTCCAGCAATATCTAGATCAAGAAAAAATTACTTATTAAATTTACCAAGAAGAACGAAAAATCATAACTACTAAACGAGCATTAACACCGAGACCAACACATGATGAACCAAAAAAGAAGCGAAAACTTGAAGAAACGTAAGGAAAATAAATTTAACGTAAAAGCTTCTCGCCAATGCCTCCACTGATTGAACGACTTGTCAACGGAAGTTCGTTCCTTATTGATAAAGACTGCTCGAGCGCATTCGTTGAGCGTTGATCATATTTCGTTAATTTGACACAATTGCAATCAAAAAAGTCAAACATGTAAAAATAATTCAATTTTTGTAAGTATAAATTTTATTATTTCGTTTATTGAATGCGCGCGCTCTTGAAAATATAAATAATACTAAATACACCAGAGTGATTGCATGGGAGGAAAATACTCGCCATTGATGAGTATAACCTATTCTTTGGTCACTCTAGTGCAAATTAATTTCATTCTTCTTTACTATCACTATTATCTATTTCTTCATTTTCATTTTCCCCATCTAAGTGAATTACATCTTTCTTCTTCTCTTCGTCGATCCAAAGTTGGCTATTACAAATCATGCCAAGAACGAAGCCTATTAATACCCAAAGAAAGAAGTTGTTGGATCTGCTTTTGTATCTTTTTTAAACGATGTTTGTTGAGTCTTGGTTGAAAGTAAGCGACTAGTGCTGATAAATAAATCGTTTATTCATGATTGTTTCTGCGCATCAATTATCATTGGTCATCCTGCATACAATGGACAATCGCAGCTGTGAAAAATTTACGTAATACTTACGTCATTGATTAAGCCACTAGTATATTACGTATTAGATCACATCGCGCAGCAACGAAAAAATTTCGTCCTTCACATCCATCATACAAGAAACATGAGCACAGCATACGACGATGCAAAGCAGGAGTATGAAGAGGCGAAGGGGAAGCTGGAGAAGTTCGAGAATGACGGGAAGTTGGAAAGGCTAAGAAATCTGAGGATAAGTGTGGCAGTTGAAGAATGGGGAAGCGAGAGAGAGAGAAAGAGGTGGATGTCGGAGAAGGAACAGCTGGAGCGGGAAGAAGAAGGGTTGAAAACGAATATAGAATACTGGAAGGGAGAAATGAAGAGGCTGACGACCTCTCAGCCAGGTAACAACTTTGTGACTCGGCGTTGGGGACATAGAGTAGTGTGTATATAGGCGCATCAAGTGTATGGGCTGTAATATACACTACCCTACCATAAATCACCGGATTTTTTGTCACGTGTTTGAAATAGATATGAAATTTTTGTATTTTCTA